AGCAGCACCTGGAGCTTCCCTGTGTGGTTTTGAAGAGCTGGGGAAGAGCCGGGCTCATCTGCGCCCAGAGCATCACCTGTGACACTCTGGTGCGGGAGAAGTCTGGGCTTTTATCTGTAACAAAAAGGCTGCTAATGTTGAGAAATCAGAGTGGAATAAGAAAAAGTGCAGTTTACTATCTACACTTTAAATATTTAAAAAAAAAAACAAAACCAAAAACAAACCACAAAACAACTTAATAATAGAAGAGAGGAGCTGAGCTGAGGAACCCTGGCAGGCAGCTCAAGTGGAGAGCCGAGGTCCTCTCGTCTGGGGGATCCGTGTCAGTAATGAGACTCGGATTTTATTTCCAGTGACCCCCTCACCCATCTCGCTGCTAATGAGCTTTGTGAACGAGGCGTGGGGGAGGCGTGGGGAGGGCTTTGCTCACTGCTGTGAACAGGGACTCGTGCAGATACTTATTTTCCTAAGACCCATCTTGTATGGGTTTCAGTGGTCGCTTGCTTTCTTTACTCTTGAAAGATGCTGCTCCTCCTGCTGCGTTGGCTCTGGCCGTGCTGCGGGCGGTGGTGGCGGGTGGAGGAGCTGTGCCGAGCGCTGGTGGCCGGAGGCCACGCGGTGTCACGGGAAGTGGGTGTGAGCATCCCATTTCATTGCAAACCGCAGCCCCCTGTGTCGGCGAGGCTCTGGTGGCCTCCGGGGTGGCAGCGGGCACGCCACAGCAGGTCCTGCCAGATTTGCTGCTCCATGTCACCTTGGAGATGCCATTTAAGAGGGAGGAAAGCTTATTTCTCCAAAACCCAGGTAAAAATAGCCCTCTCTTATTCAGCATATCCATTCTCTGTGTGTACGCGGAGTCTGTTTGCTGACTGCAAAGACAAAAGTAAAGACTGGGGTGTTCTGCCCATCGTGGCAGGGAGGGGACGAGGCCGGGAGCGGCGGTGCCACCAGCCAAACCCCTGCGGGGCTGCCGGCGGGGGTCTGCCTTCGCCAGACCTATATTGGCAGCAGTAGGGTCGGGGCGTTGCAGCTGTGGGTCACGTTTAGCCTGCAGGATCTGTATTATCGGTGCTAATGCAGAAGACGACAAGAAACTTAGTTTTCTTTTCCAATCCCGAGAGCAATTTTCAGGGCTGGGCATCATCGCGGAGAAACCAATTCACTCCTGCGTGGATGGAGTGGATTTGCAAGGCAGTGGAATTACATTTGTATGGTAACAGCTTCTCCCTGGCTTTTCAGAGCAGATGATCAGCTGGAATTTCCCCCTACCTCCCTTTTCCTCTCCGTAGCGTGGATTAAGTACCAAACCCTCTTCCCAAGCTCTGAGATGTTTTTTGCTTGTCAGATCCATGGGTGAAGGATGGTCTGGGAGCTTGAAGCGAGTTCCCAAGGAGCGCGGGTCTAACGTGGAAAACCACAAACAGCTTTTTCTTTTGAATAGCTGACTAACGGTTTGTAGGATCCCTTTGACTCCCTGGATGAACGGATCCATCCCATACTCAGACGAGGGGTGTGCAGAGGTGGTTGGTCGGGGGCTGCTGGGGCACCACGTCTCGCCGGCTCTCCTCCCATCGGGGAGGGACGTGTCACCCGTGATTGCCCAGACAGAGTTATTGGCCGAGTTGCTTATTGATTTTCTAATCATTTTTCCCCCCCCCCCCCCCCATCCTGTGTCACTGCCAAGGCAGGTCGCAGATTGAACTGCAGCTGAATTGATGGGGGATTGATTAAAACTCACTGTAATTATTGGTTCTCTGCTGCCCGAGCCAGACAAATCAATGTCAGCAATAACAGATCTGGTCCTTTATAAAAGCCCAGCGAACGCAGAAGGGGCGCTGGTTTGTGAGCCCACCCCAAGAGCCCACTGACCCATCAGCCACCGGCCCGGGGAGTCGGGGTTAGCACAAGCTGGCTCTTTCCTGGGTCGTTTCTGACATCGTTAAACCCGAATGGGCTTTAGTTTTCTCCCCGCTCTGATTTTTGGTGGGGCATCCTGGTTGCAAATCCTCTGCTCCAGGGGCAAAGCATACGTGTAGTAACGATTTATTGTGCCCAAAAGTTGTTCCTTCCATCTATTCATCGCCTCAAAACCCTCCGGGCCGGCAGCCAGCATTGCTTCTCCTGCCGCCCGCCCGTTGGGTTTGCTGGCTGGTGCTAATTGCGGAGCTGGCGGGTTCCCCTGGCTGGCTCTCCCTGGCATCTTCGTGTCCTGTCCCCCCCCGCCGGCCCCACCAAGCCGGGACCCCTCCCGTGTTTGTGCGCTGGCTGCCGGAGAATCTGTCCCTGGAGAGCTTCTTGCCACAACCCCACCGCTGGCCGGAGAGCGGGCGCCGGGATGGGACAGGGATGGGTGCGAAGGGGAGGGAGGGTGTGCTTTCTTTTGGAAGTTTTGCGCTGAGCTATTTGCCTGCCGTAATTAATGCGTATCAGGATGCATAATTACAAACAGAAAGCAAACGTGTTTCACGGTGATTAAAAGCCCAAACCGGAGGAATATCCCAAGGGTGGCCTCGAGCAAAGCGGGGCTAAGGGAGGGAGGGCTTTGGTGACCTGCTAACCCAGTCCCAGGGAAAG